TGGCATGATGAACAGCCCCCGGCGGATTCTGATGCAGGTGATCTTGCTACTTTGAGAACTCTTCATTGGAAGCTGACTCAAGCATCTGTAATGCCTTCCAGGTTCTTTCTGAACAAAGACATACAAAAGGTTCATACTCTGGGTCCTCACTGAGAAGACTTTGGGGACTCTTAGATCACTTCAGTTCTTAATTCAAGCTCCCTCTTTCCAGAAAGTCTAAAGGCAGCCCAGGGTCCCTATGCACAACCTGAATTCCTTCACTTCTTCCTTCTAGGAAGAGAAGTAAGTAGGCCAGTCCTGGGCCTGTGTCCTCACATTCATTTCCCACCCTCCCCTAGCTCTGCTTCGTATGTCAAGGAAGCTAACTCTGGGGGCTGCATGTCCCATGTTCCTGGGTGAGCTCCCTTCTAGCTGCTTTTGTTCAACTGGAGGTATTGGTGGGAAATCAGAGGCAGGATGAAGAGAGAAGCCAGAGGATTTCTCCCTGTGCATCCATCCATTCTGCAGCAACATTTTCTCCATGCTCCAGTTGCCACTGCACAGCCCACTGTGGACCCTGAGTTCTAGGTGACCCTGGCCACTGGAATCTGGTGACATAACCCCACTTCCTTCCCTAGTCTCTATAGCCTAAGCGTGGCATGGTCTATCCCTTGCCTTCTTACCTCCCCCAATTCTCCATATTCAATTCCCTGTGTTGTAAATACCTGAAGGGGTATTTCTACCTAGACTCTGATTGAGACATCAAGTTTGGCAAATAGAGGTGAAGTTTCTGGTGAGGAGGGAAAGGTACCCTTTGTAGAGAACGGGGAAGAAGGAGGGAACAACTAGGGGTCCTTGCCCTGAAGAACGTTCACTGGTCAAGCTCCCATACCTCCTACCTCCAAAAAGTAGGGAAGGAATATGATGCAGAGGAGCTAGAACCAAAGGAGAGGGGTGCTGTGGTGGGCATGCATCCCCCAAGTTTCACATGTTGAAACTAAATCATCAAGGTGATGCTATTAACTGATCTTATCCATCATGATCTAATCACTTCCTAAAGGTGGTAATACTGTTAAATCACCGCCTTTAGGAAGTGATTAGGTCATGATGGATAAGATTAGTGCCTTGTGAAATAGTTGGAGAGGGCAAATCTGTTTCTTGCATCTCTTCCACCATGTGAGGACACAGCATTCTTCCTTCTGGAGGAAGCAGTACGCAGGGTGCCATCTTGGAAGCAGAGAGCTATCACCAGACACCAAGCCTGTTGGTGCCTTAATTTATACTTCCAAGCCTCCAGAAGTGTGAGCAATAAATTTCTATCATTAAATTACCTATCCTATATTACTTTGTTATAGCAGCACAAACGGACTAAGACAGGGAGCAAGTACATCCTAAGCAGAACCATTACATCAATGGCTTCACTGTAGACCAGGATTTCTCAACCTCAGCATTATTAACATCTTTGCCAAATAATTCCTTGTTATGCAGAGCTGTCCTGTGCATTGTAGGATGTTGAGTAGCATGCCTGGACTCTACTCATGAGATGCTAGTACCATACTACCCTGAGCTGTGACAACCAAAAATGTCTCCAGACATTGCCAATGTCTCCTGGGGGGCAAGGTCACCCTCTCTCCCCTCAGTTGAAAACCACTGCCCTAGACCCATTTAGCTTCAGAGTTCTTGAGCCCCTAGTAATTCTTCTGCTGTGTTAGCCTTGTTGGAGTCCACAAAGTCAGCTGAGAAGAGAAATAAATAATTATTGCCACATGCTCTACAAAGAAGTTGCAACTAGGCCAAGTGCTCAGAGCTGTCACCAGGAAGTATGGAGTCCCCCTGCATTCTCCTCATCCTCTGCCTCTCTTTCCCCATTAATCTAGGTGAAATCACATAGAAGCCTGGCTTCAGAGGTAGAAGAATCAGGGCAGGAGCAGGGAGGGTCTTTCCTTTCTATCTAAATTTCATGAGGTAGCTGGGAGTTTTGGCTATTTGTATAAGAGTCTCAAGTCGTTTAAGTGCAATCCACTGCTTGAGGCTGCAGAGTCAAATACACCTGTCGCCTATTCAAAATCTAGTTCTGCACTTGAATGTAATTGGGCAAGTTCCTTAATCCCTCTGAGCCTCAGTTTCCATATCTGTCAAGTGAGGATAATTCTTTTTTTATTGATGTTTTGTGGGTACTAGGGGAACAGTTGTAAATTGCCAAACAAAAAACAAACAAACAAACAAAACCACAGACACTCACTAGATGAAAAGCTGGAAAACCATGACCCACAGTCAGATCAGGCTCACCTAAGGTTGCCAGATTTACCAAATAAAATATTGGATTTGGCAACCCTACATGTTGGCCACCTGCTTTCATAAATGAAGTTTTATTGGATATTGCTATACCTGTTTACTTCTATGTTGCCCACGGCTGTTCTTGGTACACAAGGCAGGGTGCAGTAGACCGTGCAGCCCTCAAGTCTCAACTCTTTAATATCTGGCCCTTTACAGGAAATATTTGCTAACCCCAGCACCACAGGGTCAGTGATGTTTATAACAGCAGTGTGATAGTGCCAGCTTTTAATGAGGCAGCGCCTCCTCTAAATGAGTAGGCAGCGTGGATATGATGGGACTCTGCACCCAGTCAGGTGTCCTCACTTCAAACCCTGGTTGTCCTGTGGAGCATTGGACAAGGCATTTAAACTTGTAACACCTCAGTTTTCTCCTCTCTAAAATGCTGCACTATTGGAGCTGTCATAGGAAAGCAGAGTGCACTCGGGTTCATTGGTTGTTCTGGGTTTATTTGAAAAACCCAGAGAATCCTCTCATGGGGTCCTGGGAAAAACTCATCAATTAAATGCATATCAAAGGAACACCAAAGTGCTAGGAACATGGTAAATACTTATCACGTCCTAGCTTACTAAGGAAGTATGATAGTTATTCCTATTACTACCATTACTTCTATTACTGCTATTATTTTACTACCTCTGCTAATCCTTCACAGCATTGTTGTGAAGCTTAAATGAGATATGAATATAAATGGTCTGGCCCTAGTAAATGCTCAATAAATGCCACTTTTGCTCCCTTCTCCTCTACCCATTTTCCTGGGTCACTGCCCATCTGTCCACAGCAGGGTCTTGCGTGCCAGCCAGCCCTGGCAGCTTTGCATGAAGAGTGCAATCCGGCAGGCTCTCCCACTCAGAACATAGCTCTCGTGCCAACTCCTTGGGCCTTGTCTGCCCCAGGAGTTTCCCATTGCCTCACTCCCTGCACAACAGCACCACTTCCTTCAGTAGCCCTGTCTCCTTCCTTCACTCTCCCAATCACATCTCAGTTCCCCAACTCACACACTTACAGAAATCAGGGGAAGGGAAGAACTCGTTCCTGCATCTTGGCCCCTTTCCTGGGATCTGGCTGAGAATCTTGTGCATATGAGGTGCTGGCAGAACCCCATAGAAGATTAGTGTGCTAATGGCCTCATAAAAATGAAACATTTATGGAGAGGGCTTTATTTCACTTTACCTCAGTTCCCCTCTTTTAATGAGGCTGGCTGAACTGTGGGAAGCCTTGGGAGTCAGACAGACAACACAATTTCCAGTTCCAGACTCTGGTTGTGAGGAGTGAGAAAGAAGTTGTGTTCCCCATCAGGGGGGTTGCAGGGCAAGGGGCAGGAGCTGAGGAGTACCAGGGGACAGAGGGCTGGGGTCTCTGAGAGGACTTCCTCCTTCACCAAGGACCCTTTATCTCCTCCCCAGAGTAGAAGGAGTTCTTTCAAGAGGAGAACAGCTAGAAGCATTGGCCAGTCTGCCAGGCTCATGACTCGTGTGCCCCTCACTAACAATAGGTCCTTTGACCCACAGTGGATTCATCTCAGTCAGCGACCAACATGGCCCTCACTGGCCTTGGCTTCTAATCTTCACATGATATGAGCTCACAGCTTGGCCAGAAACACTGGACTAAGTTCTGGCAACACAAGGCTCTTGAGAGAAGCACCTTGTTGCTCCCCAGCCCCCGTCTCCTCTCTTCATCCCTTGGCCCCAAACTTCTTCCTCATCTCCTATCTGCCTCCTCTCCAAAATATAGCCTGGGTGGCTGGATCCCTGGCATTGACATCAGCTAGATCTGGGTTCAAATCCCACCTCTGCTGTCCAACCTTGGACGAGCTCATCCTCCTCCCTGGGCGTCATTTCCTCATCTTTCAAATGGCAATGCGGCTGCTGAAGACATAGAGCAACAGCACTGAGAGACACCCACTGCAAGCATTTGATAAACACAGGCTGTTTCACAATGGCAGGATGACAGGGCTTCAGTCACTCCTCACCTCTGGACTGGGACACTTACCAGGACCTTAGCCTAAGGGGCTGGATGAAGGCTTGGTAATGAGTGGTGCTTGAAGGACGTAGTCTGGTTCCTCCCTACTGTATGTCCGTCTTCCCTCCTCTTGCCTCTTCTTTAGAATTTAACAGCCGCAGAAACTGATTGAACACGTGCTGTATGTGAGGAGCTGAGGCAGACCAAATGCCTGTCCTCCAGGCTCTCCTGTTCTTTCATCTGCCTGCTGAAATGCTGACTGGGATCAGGGATCTATCAGATGCAAAGATCGAGCTGGATGTGACGCATTCTTAAATCCTGCCGATGCTGCTGACCCTCCACTTCATGAGGCTCTGAGAAAGATGCCTTCTCAAGAACAGCAGGAAAATGTTGGCTAAAGCAGGCAGGGGCTCCACCCCTCAAAGCAAAGAATGCTGGTAAACTAGGTCATTGCACATGAAGAACTGCTTCTTCCTAAGCGACTGGACCTAACTATTGTCAGGTCTGCAGCAGGGCCCCACCCCAGAGGCCCCCAGAGGCAGAAGCCCTAAGAGGCTTCCCCCATCTCTGCCTAAGGCCATCTCTGGAACAGGGAGCGAGGTGGAGTTGGTGGATCTGTGCCTCAGCTTCCTCACTGCTCAGTGCTGTGTCCTATGCGGTGTCCCAGAGGTCCCCCATGGAATTGAGCCCGTGGCTGCCAGCAGTCACCTGCTCATTAACTCACTCTGTATTGATTCCCTCCCTTCCCTCTTCACTTCCTCACTCCCTCACTCCCTCACTGTGCCTGTTAGTGAAGTGGGAGAAGTTCCCTTATCCCCCTGGCAGGGCGTGTGTGCCACAGGGCTGTGGCTCCCTTCTTCTGTGCTCCGCTGTCCAAACCCCTAGGAGGAGCATGCAGATGGGCAGGTCATGGGGAGTGTTTTTGAGCTCCATCCCAACAGCAGTGTCTAGGGTTGTTTACAGCTCCCCAAGCCCCAATGGGTGGGTGTCACAGTGCATTCTTTCAGCTTTGCCATCCGCAGGTGGCTCATGTTAATCAACTCAGTTAGACCCTCTGCCTTATCACAAGGACAGAGGGCTTTCTGTATCCCAGGTCTTGGCCAAATGTACCAGAAAAAATCAGATCACATGTGGGCTTGGAGGATGGGTGCAAGGTTTTATTGAGTGGTGGGAGTAGCTCTCAGCAGATGGATGGGGAGCCAGAAAGAGGATGGAGTGGGAAGGTGGTCTCCTGGAGTTGGACCTCCCAGCAGTCAGACTTTCCTCCGACCGCCCCCAGCTGAAATCCATGTCGCCCCACCATGGATGGCCTGCCAGCATCTGCTGGTGTCTGCCGGTGTGCTCTTCCGCTCCTCTGCTCCTCTTGTCATCCAGACACTTGTGTGTGTGTCCACTTAAGGTCTCTTGGGTTTATATGGGCACAGTATTGGGGGTGTGGAAGGCCAGAGTGGTCTTGGAAAATGCAACATTTGGGCACAAAAACAGGAGTGCTTGTCCTCACTTATGTCCATGGGCACAGGCTCTTGGGTGGAGCCTTCACTAGCACCCCACCCTTCTCTAACCAGCCCCCTCCTGTATCATTAGGATCACCTCCCAAGTAAGCTACTTCTACCCAAGCCCTTGCTGTAGATTCTGTGGTACATGCAGAGGCCACTCTTTAGAGAAGGGCCTTGTGGGGATGTGGACAGCTGCAGCCTCAACTGTCAGCTCCTTCAGAGGCAGCCTCAGCTGCAGAAGTCCTGACCCGAGGTCTTGCTTCATCCAGGCAGCTCACACCTAGTCATTGTGTAAGGCAGGGTATAAAGACCAGGCCATTTCAGCCCAGCATGGGGACAGTGACAGGCGATGCCCACTCCCTGTTCCCTGCCCCTGCTGGCTGGCTGAGCCTGGGGCTTTGTCAGGCTTGTGCTACACTCTGACTTCTCCCCTTGCCTGATCCTGTTGCCTTTCCTTTCCCTTCAGAAGACTTGATCCCTAATAAACATCTTGCACCCCAAACTCCATCTCAGGGTCTGCATTTGGAGAACCCTGCCCTCAAGATTCCCTGAAGCAAACCTGCATCTCAGATCTTACCTCACAATGTGGGTGAGCAAGAGAGGAGAGCAGAAGCCAGTGCAACTCCTTAGCTGGTGAAGTGCAGCCAGAGACAGAGAGAGAGAGAGCGCCCAATTCCTAGGTGAAAGAAAGGAAGAAATGGGATTGAGGAGAGAGAAAGAGATGACTGGGCCTCTTCCCTTGGAACAACACTCTGGGCCTATGGGACCACAGGAAAGAGAGAAGCAGGAGAGAGAAAACCATCCACTTGCCTAGGCTTTTGAATGCGATGACCCTGCCACCTAAGGAATGGTGGCCCATGGAAATTCTTCCCTCACAGGTCCCCAGTTCCTCTGCCTTCCTCCCTTTGTCCAGGGAATGGCGTTCCTTCAGCCTGTGAGCAGCGGTTCTGCCAAACCTCATTAACCAGGTCCAGGGAACAAAATTCCACTCTGGCCTCTGCAGTGCAACACTCGGCCAAACTCCCTCCAGAAGCAACTGCATGGCCAACAGAGGAACCTGACTCACTGGAATTTGCTTTGTCAACAATCGTTGCATTATGAAGAGAATGACAGGCTTAGCGGGGTAGCTGTGGGAGAGACAGAACTAGAGGGTGTCTGCCCTTGAGGGGCTCTAGAACCTAGCTGCAAACTGACACAGACCCAAAAAAACTACAGAGCAAGGCAAGAGATGCAAAGTGACATGTAAATAGTTTTTGAAAAAGAAATGCCTATGGGAAACATCTTCAGCTGGAGTAGTCAAGAAGCTTTCAGAAGGAGGAGGTATTTCAGCCAATCAACTATCAGCCCTGTAAGCCAGCGCTGTCCAATGGACACATTATGTGAACTATAATGCGAGCCACATACGTAACTTCAAATTTTTTAGTAGCCACACCAAAAATAAAAAGAAACAGGTGAAATTAATTTTAGTCATATATTTTACCTGACCCCTGCATAGTTCAAAATAGTATTAATGCAATAATTTTAAAAAAGAATAAATTTGATATTTTATGATGTTTTTTATGCTAAGTCTTTGAAACCCAGTATGTATTTTACACTTACAGCACATCTTAGTTTAGACCAGCCATATTTCAAATGCTTAATAGTCACGTGTGCTTACTGACTACCATACTGCTCAGTGAGACTCTGTGTTCTTGTTACTGAAAGGCTCACGGACTGGGAGTATCAGCTTATTAGAAAGGCAGAACTTCAAGCTCTGGCCCAGACCTCCTGAATCGCAATCTGCACTTTAACAAAAATCCCTGTCAATCTGTTCAAGCTGCTGGAACAAAGTACCTTACACTGGGTAATTTATTAACAACAGAAATGTGTTGCTCACAGTTCTAGAAGCTGAAATGCCCAACATCAAAGCACCAGCAATTTGGTGTCTGATGAGGACCTGGTCTCTGCTTCATAGATGGTGCTTTGTTGCTGCACCCTCACATGGTGGAAGGGGCACAGAGCACACCTGAGTCTTTTTTTTTTTTTTTTTTTTTTTTTTTGAGATAGAGTCTTGCTCTGTCACCCAGGCTGGAGTGCAGTGGCGCAATCTCAGCTCACTGCAACCTCCACCTCCTGGGTTTAAGCAATTCTTGTGCCTCAGCCTCCTGAGTAGCTGGGATTACAGGCACCTACCACCGTGCCAGGCTAATTTTTGTATTTTTAATAGAGATGGGGTTTCACCACGTTGGCCAGGTGGGTCTCGAACTCCTGACCTCAAGTGATCTGCCCATCTCGGCCTCCCAAAGTGCTGGGATTCACAGGCTTGAGCCACCGTGCCTGGCACTTGAGCTTTTTTTTTTTTTTTTTTTTTAATAAGAGCACCAATCCCATTCATGAGAGTGGATCCCTCATGACTCAGTCACTTCCCAAAGGCCCACCATCTTAACACTATCACATTGGGTATTAGATTCCAAGATGTGAATTTTAGGGGGACACTAGCATTCAGACCATAGCAATCCCCAAGTGAGCTCATGCTAAAGTTTGGGAAGCATAGCTCTAAGACTTTTCTCTCCTCTCCACACAACCAGCCAGTCACCCAGTCCTGTTAAGTTCAACTTTAAAATATCTTCTGGATCCATCTCATTTGTTGTCTTACCTCTGCCACCAACTCGATGTAAGTAACTACTTTCTCACCCTGTTATGGATCAAAGTGCATGCTCCAAAAAGGTGTTGAAGTTCCAACCCCTAGGAACTGTGAATGTGCTCTTCTTTGGAGATAGGATCTTTCTTTACAGGTGATCAAGTAAAAATGAGGTCATTAGAGTGGGCCCCTAATTCAGCATGACTGTGTTCTTATATAAAGGAAAAATTTTGGACACAGAGAGACACATACAGGAAGAAATGCCACGTGAAGATGATGGCAGAGATAGAGCGATGCAGCAGAAGCCAAAGAACACCAAAGATTGCCAGCAAGCCACTCAGAGCTGGGAGAGAGGTGTGGAACCGATTCTCCTCCACGGCCCTCAGAAGGAATCAATCCTTCAGTCACCTTGATCTCAGACTTCTAGCCTCCAGAACTGTAAGACAGTAAATTTGTGCTACTCTGAGCCACCCAGTGTATGGTACTTTATTCAAGGCATGGCAGTCCCAGCAGAATACTATACACCCAAGTCTCTATAATAGCTTCCAACACCTCTTGCCTCTTCCACTAGTGCCAACTCTTACCCTAAAACACTGACCCACAAGGGTGCTCTGATCACAACCAGAGGAACCTTCTCAAAATGAAAATGGGAGCAGATCACTCTCCCCCACCGCCATGCCCTTCCATCGCTCTGCATTTCATTTCTTTCTTTCTTTCTTTTTTTTTTTTTTGTCTTGCTCTGTCACCCAGGCTAGAGTGCAGTGGTGTGATCTCGGCTCACTGCATGCTCTGTCTCCCGGGTTCACGCCATTCTCCTGCCTTAGCCTCCTAAGTAGCTGGGACTACAGGCATCCACCACCACTCCCGACTCATTTTTTGTATTTTTTTTTAGTAGAGACGGGATGGTCTCGATCTCCTGACTTCATGATCCGCCCGCCTCGGCCTCCCAAAGTGCTGGGATCACAGGAGTGAGCCACCACGCCCAGCCTTGCACTACATTTCTAACCAACTCTCAGTTTTAATACACATTCCCCCACCTCTGGTGATCTTTTCATTCCTCAACAGGCCAAGCTCTTTCCAATTCTGGGCTGTGGCATATGCTGTTCCTTTCCCAGGAACGTAGATCCCTCTACATCCCACCTTGGTTGCCTCTACTCATCTTTCAGGTGTCAATTCCTCAAGCATCCTTCGCTGGTTGCCAGCCCCCAGTATTCTCTCTCCTAACACACTCTCCTGTCGTTGATAAAGTGCCACTCAAAGTGTGGACCAGTTGCTGGGCCACCAACAGATTATTATGTGTTCATGTCAAGATGCGGAATTTGAGTACTTAGAAACTTTTGTTGCAGCTTGACATCACTGTGACATCTAAGCAAGTGATCAGGGGACTTCTCTCCTGGAACAGGATTTAGACCAGCTCAAATATTGCCCAACTCACATGGTACAAACTCCAGTTGTCCCTCAGTATCTGTAGAAGATTGGTTCCAGAACCCCCACGTATACCAAAATCCATGCATACTTAAGTCCTGCAGTCAGCCCTAAGGAATCCAAGGATATGAAAACTTTGCCCTCCATATATGTGGGTTTCACATCCTGCAAATTCTGTATTTTCAATCCATGTTTGGTTGCAAATGTGGAAACTGCCCATATAGAGGGCCAACTGTTGTTACAAAAAAAAAAATCTGGGTGTAAGTGGACCCACACGGTTCAAACTCGTGTTGTCCATGAGTGAAATGTACACACAAATCATGCACAACAGGACCACGTATCTATCTGTGGTCAATGAGAAATGGAAAATAACAGGTCCACAGATATTAGAGAATCTCTGCTTCCTAGGAAACATCACTAGTAATTCTTTTAATTGGTAAGAGGATGTGTGTCTGTTATCCACCCCTCCCACGGGGTGAGTTTCACTATGGTGGCAACTGTTCAGCTCACCACAGATCTGTCCCCAGAACGTCTCCCTGAGTCTGACACAGAGAAGTGTTATAAATCCTTGATATGTGAATGAGTGGGCTGAATCATAGAAGGTAGAAATTGGGAGGGCATCCTAGGTGGACGAAGGGCCTGAAGCCAACATTTGAAGGTGAGAAACTGTACTGGCAAACCAAACAAAGACTCTGCCTGCCATATTTTTAAAGCCCAATGACTTCACATTGAGGAATTCCTCAAATCTTAACATGGGGTCCAACAGGACAGATGGAGAATTCCAGAGGAATGGATAGATTCTTTCGATCTTGGGCTGCATTCTGTTTTCACAATTGTTTCTGGCAGAACCCTAAAGAAAAACACAAACCAGATGTACAGAGAAATATTTTCTTTGTCAAGAAAAGAAAAAGTGGCTTATCCTGCTCTCACACTGCTGCCCTCAACACAGGCCAGATCCACAACCTTTACTTTGAACGGCTTAAAGAGGCTCCAGAATTCTTCTCCAGCCTCCCATGTTTGGAGTAACCAGGAGGCCAGCCCTGGAGTGGCCACTGTCCCCATGCTTGGGGCTCTCCAAGCTGGAGAAGCACATGGAAATGTGATTTCTACTTCTCCCTGAGGAAGGGTGAGCACTGTGGCTGCATAATGAGCCTGGAGCTTAATTGAAGTAAATAAGAAAGCTTATGCAAGCAGTTTGGGCAGGCTGCAGAGAATTGTTCATCCTTCCCTTAGATTCTTGGGAAGAGACTGTCTCCCACTAGGGTCTTGCTGGTTCCCCCTGGGGCCTTGGCTCCCTGCCCCAGTTGCTAGTGACCCTGACCCAGAAGAGCCAGCTTCTGCCAAAAACCAGAAAGCAAGCCAAGTTTGCCTTTAGCAGCCCTGACAAACCTTGAAGCAACCCCAGTGCTCAAATACCTCATGACTGATTAGATGTCCACACATCTGAGCTGTCACTCTCCTCTCCCATCACCATCAAAATGCATCCATCTTGTAGGCCATTCCCAGCTCATGGAGGAACCTTGTCTGCAAGCATGTGATTAGCGGTGCCAATGGGAGAACATGCCTCTTCAGAGCTTCTCAAAGTATGGGTCCTAGACAGCAGTATCAGTGTCACCTGGGAACTTGTAAGGATCAAAGTTTCTCAGGCGTAATCTCAGACCTCTTGAATCACAAGCCCAGCAGCTGTTTTAGGCAGCCCTCTGGTGATGCTGATGCACACTTAAGTTTAAGAACCACTGTGCTATTTATTACCAATCCTTAAGTTCTCCCACCCAAACCCCTAAGGGGCCAGGCTGGAGAGTTAAAGGAAGAAACTGGAGAGCACCTGTCCATCTAGGGAGGAGCTCCAGCCCTCTCCAGGCCACCGGAGTCAGGCAGAAGATGAGCCCAGTTTTACCAGATCTTTCCATTGTTCAAGAGCGGCTGTAAATGTGAATTAAAATAAAAAAGTAGAATCTTCCAATTTTTAAACATCGTCTTACTGTTTTTTGTTTTGGTTTGGTTTGGTTTTTTTAGACACAGTGCAGGCCTAGCCATCTCCATGAATGACAATTCCATCCCTCCGGTTCTATGCGCCAAGAGTTATTCTTTATTCAAACTTTCTCTCACTCCTCACATCCTATCTGTCTGAACATCCTGTTGGTTTCACCTTCAAAATACATCCAGCATACATCTACTGCTCCCCACACTCATACAAGGCCCTGGGTCAAGCCGTCATCTCTTTCTTGGAAAATTGCAAAGCTTGCTGCCTGGTCTTCCAGCTCTCACCCTTGGCCATTGCACTTGCATCTCAAAGCAGCCAGAGCCATCCTTTAAAAATCTAAGTCAAGTCCTCTTGTGCCTCTACTCAAACCCCGCAATGGCTCTTACACACTGCTCAGCATGAAAACCAAAGTCCTGTGAGGTTCTCTGGGACCTAGCCTCACAGTTACCTTGCTGAACATCACTTCCTCTCTCCCTTGATCACTGGGTCTAGATGCACTGAAATTCTTGCTGTTCCTCCACCAGGCAGGCACTCCTTTGCTCCCATCTCCCACCCTCGGTAGGGCTCTCACTCTGGCATTCCCCTGCCTAGAACATTTCTCCTCAGATGGCCTCATGGTGCCTAGAACATCCCTTCTCAGATGGCCTCATGGCTCCCTCCTCCAAGGATTTGTTCCAATATCTCTTTCTCCATGAAGCTCACCCTGGGAGCCCTACTTAACATCCTTTCTCTGGCACTCCCAATCTTCCTGGCCAGGGCTATTGATCTTAGCACTTAATCACAGAGCGTACTATCTACATGAATACATACTTTCCTAACTGCCTCCATCTGCTAGAGTTGAAGCTCCACAGGGGCAGGAACTTCTGTCTGATTGACTGATGGATCCTTACCACCTAGACCAGTACCTGGCATACGGCAGGTACTCAATAATTCAACTCAGTAGGTGTTGAATGAATACATGAATGAATGCAGACTAGATATTGCCACCAAGCAAGCAGCTCTGTGTTTGTACTTCAACAGAAATTTCTGGAAGCTGTTGCTCCAAGCCCAGATCTAGACTCTACTCAGAGGAATTTGCCAGCTGACCAGAGGGAGATTGAAGGACAGGAAGTATTTCTGGGGCCCTTGAATCAAGAGCCACCTTCCTTTCCTGAATGTCACTTCAATCTTGCCCATAGTTCTAGATCACTGCTCATGCCTTTGGGGAGTTTTTCAGCCAGGAAAGCGGCTCCTTTGCAGCCTGAACAGTAACTACTCTTTAAGCCAAAGTTTCTCAAAGTATATTCTTTGCAATGCTGGTCCCAGGAGATGATCCAAGAAAAATAAGCTCTAGAAACATACACATTCTCTTTCTCCTTCTCGGAGCTCACAATACATCTTAGCATTGTAAAGGCTTCAAAAGGTCTGGTAGCAAATGCTTTATAGCTTTGTTTGTTCCCATGTTCCTCAAATTTGTTGCACCACACAACCCCTTCCCCAACAAAACACCAATTAACGCTTCAAGACTCTAAGCCTCTGGCCAAACAGCATCATACTCTTCATCCTTTTGTGGGGCAAGGCTTTTCCTGTCTTACTATATTCTAAGACAATGTATTCTATTCATTTTTTTCTCCAGCTGGATACACATGGTGGGCTAGATGAGATACGAGACTTCCTCATGCTCACACTTCCCTGGTAACCATGTGCTTTTCTTTGTACTGCTGTCCCCAACCTACAATGTGCTGCCATTTCTTCCTTGTCTGTATCAACCAGAGGTCTTACCATTAAAAGTGACAGAAAAACCAACTCAAGCAGACTTAAGCAAGCAAAAAGAGAATTTATGGATTCATATAGCTGAAAAATTTAAAGGTAAGTCCAGCTTCAGGCATGGCTGGATCAAGGATAAAACTGTGACATTAGGACTAATTTTTATCCATCTTCCTGCTTGGCCTTTCACTCCAGAGTCTTCTCTTATGTTGAAAATATGGCTACCAAACTGCCAACCTCACATCTTCCCAAGTTTAGTTCCAGCTGGATAGAAATAAAACATTTTCTGGCAACTCCCTCAAAAGTCTTGAGTTTTGCTCTGATTGAACCTGCTTAGGATCTATCCCTATCCTTGAACCAATCACTATGGCCAGAGGGATGGGATGCACCGATTGACTTAGGCTCAGGCCCTATATGCCACCCGTGGAGCTGGGCTTAGAGCCCTACCCAGACAAGAAGGACTGAAAATGGGTGAAGGGTGCATCTACCCTGCCACCAACCAAATTAGGCCTTAATGCTGGAAGCAGGAGGGATGGATGCTGAGAAGACAAATTTCAAATAGGCACTACACAGCCTTTACACACATGCAAACACTGCACCTCCTCCAGGAAGCAGTCCTAGATCCACCAAGTCACATCTATCTAAACATCTCTTTTTAGGAATTAACGTATATACACAAATACCTGTAGAGCATTGAAAGTTTTCAGGTGCACAAGAGGAAGTGCTAGGCGGCAAGAAATATTTGAGATTTGGTGTCTGACAGACTTGAGTTCACTCTTCTGGATGTATGACCTTGAACAAGTTAAACCTCTCTCAGTTTCCTTTTTCTCATCTCCACAGATTTGAGATTTTTAATAATTCCGACTCATGGTAGAAAATGTCACCAATAAAGAAAAGTATAAAGAGTAAACTTGGCTGGGCACAGTGGCTCATGCCTGTAATCCCAGCACTTTGGGAGGCCGAGGCACCATGGTCTAGGTGATAAAATCCCAGCATTTTGGGATCACCTGAGGTCAGGAGTTTGAGACCAGCCTGGCCAACATGGTGAAACAGTGTCTCCATCAAAACTACAAAAATTAGCCAGGTGTGGTGGTACACTCCTGTAGTCCCAGCTACTCGGGAACTGAGGCAGGAGAATCGCTTGAACCCAGGAGGCAGAGGTTGCAGTGAGCCAGTTCGCACCACGGCACTCCAACTCCAGCCTGGGCGAGAGAGCAAGACTCCATCTCAAAAAAAAAAAAAAAAAAAAAAAAAAAGAGTAAACTCAAGTCAGCCATTACCCCAGCTCTTCGTGCCTGGATCTTGTCCACTCCCTGCCTCCAGCCCCACACAGCAGGGTCATGTCTCTCCCAAACCTCTCCAGGAACAACTGCTCCCTGGCAGCCTGGGGAAGCATCTTGCTCTCTCACCACTCCATCAGCAAGGAGGTGCTTCTTGCAGTCTAGCCTGCACTCTCAGCTGGTACAGTAGAAGTCAGCTCCTGTGTTCTCAGCCTGCACATCCCCCACCAAGATGGGAGACCAGAAACAGAGTATTTCTTCTGGCAGCTGCCAGTACTCACATGAACAAGACAAACTCTGGGAATAAAACAAAAGTAAATACCAGTATTCAGCTCCATCCCATACAAAAACCCTACTGACTCACAATTAAAATGGGAGAAAGGATGTCCAGGCACCAAGGATGTGTCTTTTTTTTTTTCCTTTAGGAGGCAACCAATCAAACGGAGAAGAGAGCAGCAAAGACCATGCTCCTTGTGGCAGAGATAAACAATGGAGATGGGGAGGAGACACAAAAAAGGTGGAGGGAAATGTTAAGGGAAGCAGGGACCGATTTTGTCAACAACAGGGCTCCTATTTTATGAGAAGGATAAGCAGTCTAGGAGACAGATCAGAAGCGGTCCAGAGGGAGGCTCAGAGCATCAAGGAAAGAAGACAAACTCTGGAATTCTCCTCATGAGGGCTTAGATATACATTCATTCATTCATTCATTCCCTGGTCAACAAATTTGTATTAAGCACATGACATGTGCTGAATGTGTCAGGCATGGGTGGACATAAAATGCTGAGGCCCTGCCCTCGTTGAGCTTAATCCAAAGGGATAGACAGGCCATGGGCAAAGCCCTCAAATAAATACACAGCCACAAACTGTAATAAATGCCACAAAGGACACTAACCCGGAACACTAAGAAAGAGTATCAGGTGAACCATTCTCTCTCAGGGTGGTCAGAGAAGGCCCCTCTGATAAGGCAGTTCTTAACCCAAGTCCAGAGAATGAAGAGGAGGCCCCTGAGTCTGTCAAAGCAGGAAGGACCCATGTTCAAGGATGGAAGAAGCCACTGGGACTGGAGCTTTGTGTGTGATTAAAGGAAAAGAGCAAGGTGGGCTGGGAGGAGGAGGGAGGGTCCAGATTACACAGGGACACCTGGGTGCTCATAGAACTTAGATTTCAGCCAAAGGACAGAGCCTTTTTTCTAAACCACCCCCCACCAGTAGGGTCCTATTCGTGGCACCTGCATTCATTTGAAACAAAGAAATGCATACATGAGGTGGTCTCATTTGTTTGGGTAACAGACAGTGCTCATCAGGAGAACAGAGGCCTTTACAGTAACTCCCCCAGTACACCCAGCCCACAAACCAGGAACTCCTGACCTGGAACATAGTAAGAAACAACCAAGAGACCTCAAATAATCTACGCAAGGGGAGAAACGAGGGGACAGAGACAAAACAGTGTCAAAAGCCAGCTTTCACGGAAGCCACTGAACAGCCTTCTCCCACATCCAGGTCCTCACCTGGCCTAGGAGGAAGCCCCACCCTCAAGAAGCCTGAAGCTTTGTTACTCACAGTGTGTCCTGGAAGCACCACCAGGAAGCTCGGCAGAAATGTGGATTGTAGGAGTTTTCTCACTGTTGCTGTCACAAATTACCACCAACTTAGTGGCTCCAAACGACATGAATGTGTTCTTTTAAAGTTCTGTAGTTCAGAAGGCTGAAATGGGTCTCGGCAAAAATCAAGGTGTTGGCAGGATCTCAAATTTGCAATCCTGGAGGCTCTGGGGGAGAATCCACCTCCTCGCTCTCCCCGGCGCCTAGAGGCTGCCTGCATCCCTTGGCTCGTGACTTCCTTCCTCCACTTTCAAGGCCAGCAAGAGCAGGTTGAGTCCTTCTCACTCTGACCTCTCTTCCTGCCTCCCTCTCCTCCACGTAAGCACCCAGTGATTCCACCAGGCCCACCTGCATAATCCAGGATAATCTCCCCATCTCAAAGTCAGCCACTCAGCTACCTCAATTCCATCTGCAACCTTAACTTCCCTTTACCGTGTAAGCTAGCATATTCACAGGTCCTGGGGATTAGGAAGTGAAATCTTTGAGGGGCTGTTATTCTGCCCACCACATAAGACACAAGGGCCCCACCTGCACCAACTGAATCATCTGCCTTGGAATGAGATGCACAGGGGGCTCAGATGCACATTCAAGTTTGAGAAGCCCTGGCCTCCTGGCCTATCCAGGACTGACATCTCCTAGGCCATACCCAGCACTGCCAGCCTGGTGTGTTCAATTAGGCCTCAGAAACCCCTCCCTGAAGTCTGATTGTCTCAGCTGGGTTGCCACAGCTGCAAGCATTTCCTCTCTCTCCACATGCACTCCCATCCTTCATGGAGAAGGGGGTCTTTTGTCCGGAAGCCTGGACTTGGAGGCAGCCTCTTGTAGGGGGTCTGAGGTTTCTGAAATGTTTCCTTGGGGGAGGAAATGGGATTCGCATCTAGATATGGGACTTGAACACATCAGGGCAGAAGAGCAGTTTGCTTGTCCCCCACGGCAGGTCTGAGGATGGCTGGTTTTGGGAAAACGTCAGCAAAGCTTGGCAACAACTGTGATTCCCTACAACTCACTGCAACAAAGACTTCCAGATCTGGCGGGAGGGGCTCTGGACATTTTACAGATGAGGAAACTGAGGTTCAGAGAGGATGTGACTTGCTCAAGGTCACACAGGAGTGGAGAAGTTAGGAAAACAGGGAGCTGGGCCAGCGGGGCCATGCTGCACACCCCTGCTTCTAACTATCATTTGGGGGGTATTTCTCAACTGAGGGTCACCCCCTACAGGAAGGAGAGAGCAGGGATTAGGATCGCCAGACCTCTGGCTCCATGTGCTCTGAGGGAAAATGATCACAGCAAATGCCTGGACTCAGCCTGATCCGGTCAGCTCCTCCGGTTCCTCCAGACCAGAGCCGCCAGCCAAACCTGGAATTTTCCAAGCAGCCAGTTCAGTCATGGAAGCCCTCCAGGTGTCACCATCTGGGTCCAGAGACTCCAGGGCCGCAGTGGGAGGAAGAAGCATGTGCACTCACTGGGAACACTGACCCAGAGCATTTCCTCCCTGTGGCAGACTCATCCCAGCCCAGCATGAGTTCAGAACCAGCAGCCAGTTCCTGGCACACTGCTGGAGCCCCAGACAGGTGCCAGGAATGACACTTCTTGGAGGTGTCCACTTCCAGGCAAAGCGCTTCTTTTGCCCGTCCCAGAGCCACTTCCCCTCAGCGCCCCCGAGGAGCTGACATTTGGAAGCATCCCTCCACACCCTAGCAATGCTCAACCTCCTTTCGCTGCTGAGAAACATCTGGCTGGCTTGGCACCTAAGCTGGGTAAAAATAGCATGCCATCTTGTGAGCAGGCACCATGCCATCACAGCAGATGGAGACCTGCACTGCCAGCCAAGAGACTGCCGAATGGCAACAGACGCATTTGCAAGGGGCAGGATTCGCAGCTGGAAGGGTCAGAGGGCGGAAGTCAGGATCCTAGTGAGAGAGGCAGGAGGTGAAACAAGAGGGCCAGAGATTGGGGCAGGTCCCTCTGCCCTTCACAGGTGGAACCAGACAGGGATGCTAGAAGGCTGCAGAGCACATCAGTGAAGTCCTGGTTTTGAGGCCAGATGAACACGCATTTAAATCTTACCTCTACCTTTACCAGCTGTGTGACCCTGGGCCGCCTGTTTAACCTCTCTGAGCCTCAGTGTAAAATGTACCCCGTAGGGTTCTGAGAAGGATAGTCCATCATTATTTCTTTCAATATGCATTTTAGTGAGTGTCTCCCATGTGCCAGGCAGGCGCTGTGTTAGGTGTGGGATGTGGTGGTGAGCATGGGCCACCGAGTTTTCTTCCAGTGTGGGAGACAGACATGAATCAAAAAACGACACAAATAAAAGTAAAATGTCAACAGAGATAGACAGGTACCACAAACAGAAGGGTCGTGGTGCAATCAGAGCACATAATAAGGGGATGGGGGCAGCAGGGGTGAAACGAGTCAAGGAAGATATCCCCCAAGGAAGGGACAATTAAGATCCGAAGGATGAGTAGGGAATTATGTAGGGGAAAATGAGAGAAGGTATGTTAAGTCCTTAGCACAGTGCCTGGGATCTGATAAGTGTTGGTAAGTGGAATAGATCATTCATGAACACTTATTGAAAATAAAATCATAACCATAGCAATCTCTTCCACTGAGGGGTTACAGTGCAAGTCTTGGGCCTTTGGGACTGTGAACAGTCATGTCACAAGAGAGTCTGACCTATGTCAACTGGCAAGGGAGCCAGAGGCAAATGGATGTTAAAAATAAAAACTCATAAAAATATCTCAAGCCTCTAGTGAGGCCCGTTTGCAGGCCTCAGATACTGCAATTCAAGCAACAAATTGGTTGGCCAAGGCCCAGCCAGGCTCACTGGCAAGCTTACTCCCCCTTTCTACAGGCAGCCTGCACAAAAGCCAGGACCTCGCCTGCTCAAGCCTCCATTGCCCTGGCCCGAGCACGGCACAGGCTCCCTTTCTGTCCCCGCTGACTGCAAGTCCTTGGCTGCAGCACACTAAACCTCACCCTTGGGGCAGAGCCAGCTTGTAGGGTAAGCAGGAGGCAGATTTCCCCCTTGGAATACAGACTGCCTTTGGATGAATGTACAGACTCGAAGGGAGAGACACTGGGAAGCAGGGTGAGATCCCTGATGAAATGTCGGTCCCCAAACTCTGAGAGATGCCATGCTGTGTGACCCCTTCCTCACTGGCTGGAATGCCCGCCAGCCAACAGGCAAACTGTGCAGAAGCCCCCTGCGACCTGAATATCAGGCACATCATGTGCCTGTGTCCCTCAAAGAGGGATAAGGCAGAGGAAAGTAGCCAAGGGGTTGCTGCACTGAACACCCCTGGTGCCCTGCCCTCCACCCTCCCCACCCACGCTTTGCCTCCAGCCGATGCTGCAGCCATCACGTGTGCCCACATCTCTCACTTTTCACCCTGGGGATTCCCGGCTGCCATTCCATGCAGGAGCGCACTCTGCTGTTCTGCTGCCTACCCAAACCCAACACACCATGGGTAATCTTTGACCCATGGAGGGCAGGAGCCAGTATACAATTCCTTCCCTCTCTGTTCTTCAGCTAGACAATTCTTAGGACTCTTCTATGTGGCTTCTCAGAGGGTCCTGGCAGCCCTGAGCTCCATGGTCCACAGTGATGATGGGCTCAATAACGTATCCTGCATTGCTTTCTTTCCTGC